TTAGTCCAATATTTTACTTCAATTTGCAATGCCAAACAATTATTTTATAGACTCATTATGCATGAAAATTTTAATTTTAATTTAGTTAAGATGAATTGAATATATAATAACATAATCTCTTGGTATATAATTAATAAATGAATTGTAAATGATAAAAAAAGGAAATATCATAAAATTTAATATAATAAACAAAATTATAAAATTAACCATAATCACTAATTTAAAGATATACAAATAATTTAAAAACTTTAATTGTTTCGAAGAAAACAATTTATACTTCAAAAAAATTTAAATATTTTTTTAAGTAATCCACTAGTTCGACCACCGATTCACTAGTCCAACCAGTAACCCAATGATCCAATACCTTGATCGAGTCGATGCTCAAATCGGGTCTAAAGTCACACTACTGTTACTTTTTTTTTTCTAAATGTTAGATTTACACCAAAATCCGAACAAATAACCCGTTGCCTTCTCTGTTGTCAATCCACCACTAATGAGGTCTCATCAGCAACCAACCAGATTCATTGGAGCCAAAATATAATCACCAGTATTATATTTGTCAATTACCACCACCACTCGCAGCAACACAAAAACCCATCAAAAAACCCTTTGTTGATAATATCAGTTTTTGTAGTGGCTACAATTGTTGGGAAGCGATGACGGTATACACCTACATGGGATGGGACCTTGTAGATTTGAGATTGTTAGGATGAATGGACTTGATAGCGATGATGGAAAGGCAACAAGATGATGATGATGATGATGGTATGCTATAGAGGGGATGGAAACTCGTAGATATGAGACTATCATGTTATGATTTGTGGTAGTGATGACGGAGGTGCCCTAAATTAGATAAACAAATCGAGTTGATGAGTGGATGCCTCCGTTGGTGGTGATGGTTGTGATTGGACTTGACGGTTGAGATGTCTTGTGGTCAAAGGGTGATGTGGAGAGGCATTGCTAGGTTTTTTAGGATAATGTTGACAATTTTAATTTTAATTATTGGATAACTAAATACAATATATTTTCTTAATACTTCAGAAGTATTGAAGAAAATGAAAAAGTACATGTAAGGTTGATATACATCTAAAGTATATAGAACCTAGAGACCAAGCATCCGATCACACGATTTCTAGTGTGTAGAGGATATTTCAATTAATTACAAGAAAAGTAAAAATGGTGAAGTACGAATTTATTGGGTGAGTTGACAATGGGATTTTTTTTTTTTGGGCAAATTACACAGAACCCTACCTTTGAAAATCAATATTCTAAAATCAGATACAAGGTTTAAGTTTTCAAAAATAAGATATTTATTTTTATATATTAAATATTAAT